CCATACATTGTCTTTTAACTTTCTCTATATTTATAATATGCTTTTATATAAATTAGTATACTATACTTATCAGTGACAAAATACAATAAATATAATAGTAAGAAAAAAGTAAACATGATGATTTAATTAAAAGTATTTATATCAATAACAAATATTAACAAGAAATTTATTTAAAAGTTTAAAAATAAAAATAATATTCCTGGAACATTCAAAGTGTGCATGTTGAAATTGCTTTGGCATCTTGAATTTAAATATTTGTGAATTATATATTTTAAGATGTTTAATTTTGGAATAAATGAATGAACAAACTGCTAAAATAAATACAATATATTAAATACAGAAAAGAAATAAATATTGTACATATGTAAGGATCAAGTAGAGTGTTGATAATTGTTTATCCAAAGCTGTTTTAGTAGAAAATGTGTCACAATTTCCTACTTTATTGTGTCTCAATGTAGGAATATTGTTTCTATGTTGTTCATAAATCATGTTGGTCTATGTTAAGCTATTGAACGCATTATTTATGGGTACACTAGTGTTACTTTTTGCTCCTGCATCTTAACAGTGCAATTTCTCAATATTTAAGCCATGGCTGTGGCTTGGATAGTAAATATCTAGATGCCCTATTTATTCCTTAGTCATAATTAGGTATTAAAAATAATGAATTAATTTTCTAATGCAATCATGGATGACAGTGATCAATAAAGAGCACATTCTGTGGAATTGAATTTCAGGCCTGTTTATTGACTGTGGCTATCATTTCTGCTGAAGTTGTGATTGAAATGCAATGTAAACAAATAATTACAGAAATGCCAATTAGATATTATTAAATATTTGGTAAAAAGAGCAAATCGGTCTGAATTAAGCATCTAATTACATAAAAAGGCGGAGCTTCATGCCCCCCGAAACCTGCATCTCCCTGGACCCCCACCTCTGCGCGGGGCTGCTCTTTTCATAATAATAATAATAATAATAATAATAATTGTTGACTTATATAGCGCATATTGTAGACTAACCTCTACTGTATGCGCTTTACATTATTACCCCTGGTCACATGGAACACAACACTAATGCCCCATAATGTTGCAGCTGTAATCAGCGCATGGTTGTGTTTGAACCTACCAGGTACCCACTTGTACTCCTGGGTGGAGAGAGACAAATGTAGATAAAGTGCCTTGCCCAAGGACACAAGAAACTTGCACAGCGAAGAAGAAATCAATTAATATATTGGATGATTATATTTATGCATATTTTTAATTTTTTTGTATGTATCTCTATACAGGTGAACAAACACTAGTACAGATAGGTTTGTATCACCTGCCTTACCTTTTCCTTATTTGTTGATTTTCTTAATGTATTTTTTGTTTTCATGTCTGTACAGGTGAACAAACTAGTAAATGTAGGTGGGTACTTACCTGACGTCCTTATTCAAACAAATCTTAAAATCATTGTAAGTAGCAACTTTAGTGCCAGTCTTTTTGGCTGATTGGGCCACCCTGGTTTAATGTGAATAAATAAATAGATAAGTATATATAGTATTACAGTGTGATTATAATAATATGGAGAAGTCCATTATTTTATTGAGGTTTTTAATAAATATCTTTACCAGTTTGGTGTTTAAATATATGATTTAGATGCAGATAACATCCTGAATTTGAATACATAGGATTTTGATACCATACAAAATCAACAGTAAAACATTTTAAATGGATATAAAAATGTTAGATGCGTTGGCTTTAAATTGATATGTACGTGTACGTATGCTTATGTGCATAGGTGTACTGGTATGCGTACTTAACTGTACAGTGCTTTACGCATGTGTACGTTGCTGCATGCTTATGTTTTAGATGAGATGCTGTGATTCGGGTCCTGTTAACTTTAACAGGCAAAACAGCTGTTCTTGACAAAGTGTAAAACCGGTCCTCAGAGAATCGTGAAATATTTTATCATTGCTTGCATTTCTGGCAACATTAATGGATTTCATCTCTCCGTTCCAGCCCCTGAGAATTTAAATGCTGGTTTATCTAGTAAGGATGGCAATAAACGGTGATTTTCCAACAGAAAACTTCCTGTTTAGTAG